TTTGATGCTGGATCTCACCTGCCATTTTTCTGTCTTCCATGTAAGAAGGTGGGAACATGGTGGCTCTAGAGAATAAACACTGGACTTCGAACCATAAGATTGATGGTTTGGACCCACCAGCTGCTCCATAAGAGAAAGATGAGGCTTTTTGCTCCCGCAAAGATTTACAGCCTTTGAAACCCTAAACAGGATTGCTATGAGTCAGAGCCTACTCAATAGCACTTAAAAACAACAACATGCATGAAGTTAACATTTAATGATTTGGTATGTTCCAGGATGGGTACTTTACCTATCCTACCTTGTTAATTATCATAACAATCAATTGTTGTTGTTAAGTGCCATTGAGTTGTTTCAGACCCATAGCGACCCTGTACAGGGTTTCCGAGGCTGTAAATCTTTACGGGAGCAGAATGCCTCATCTTTCTCCCGTGCAGCGGCTGGTAGTTTTGAACTGCTGACCTTAAGGTTCGCAGCCCGATTCGTAACCACTACGCTACAATCAATTGAGGTAGGTAATATTCTTCCCAGTTTATAAATGAGGAATCTGAAGCTTGTTCTTGTTATAAAGTGCTGTCAAGACAATTCTGACTTACAGTGATCCTACATAGGGTTTCCAAGGAGTGACTGGTGGGTTTGAACAGTTAACCTTTCAGTTAGCAGTCCTATGCTTATCACTGTACCAGGACCGGAGATATTAAATAACTTGCCCAAGGTTTCAAAGCTTTTAAATAATGAAGTCCCAATTCAAACTCATGTGTGTCTGACTCTTCAGCATGTGTTTTGAACAAATATACTTAGAAAGCCTGATGTGATCTTCCTCCAGTTTAACAGACAGGTTCACTTTGTATTATCCACCAGAACTTAGTTTCATCTATAAACCTGGAGATTAATTAACCTATAGCTTCCAGAATGCTTATATAAATGTAACATAAATTCAACCCTGTCACAATCTTGGGAACACCCTTATTTTTCTTTTATCTGTAGAAAAGTATATGCTTTTCTTTGTGCACTAATTGGTATGTTAATAACCCTTTCATTACCAAATTGTTTTTTGTTTATAGGATTTTGTAGATATCTTTTTTGCTAATGGAATGCATGCAGAATCATCAAGTGTTTAAAAAATATGGATACGTATAATGAATTTTGACACATATCATGTGAGGCACATTTGTCCCAATGGACTCTGGTGGCAAGCCAGGTGGGACGAAACTTGAAAAATGTATTCACTGGACTGTTCATTGACTCTGAACACCACACCTTTCCAATAGCACACAGAAAGCTGTAAATACCTTACAAATGTTATCTCACTGTGCAGAAGCCCTAAAAGATACGTTTATACAAGAACTCCAGGATGCACCACCTCAGACAATTCCCTCTCACAGCAATGAATCCCCTTCTAGTTTATGCAATTGTGCTATCCCCCACCCCAATGCCAGCACATATGTGGGCAAAGTGCCTCCCAAGAAACCCCAGAGGCAGAAAACATAAGTGGCATATATATGTGCTATGGAGTGTGAAAGAGCTAAGTTAGTTTCTCATTGCCACCACAGATGAATAAGCCAGCTATTGCTGCATAACAAGCAGCCATCAACTACCACTGATGGCTTACGGAAGCATTTAGATAGTGATCATGTGTCTGCAGGTCACTTGGACTTCGACTAATCAAGGCTGAGACTGCTTTCTGGTCATGATTAGTGTGTGTTTCCTTCTGAATTTGCCAGGGTAAGCAAATAAAATTACAGGCCAAAACAAACAAACAAAACAAAACCTGTTCCTATAGAATTAATTCTGACTCGTGACCCCATGTCACCCAGTTAAATTTGAATTTCAGATTAAAAACCCAATAATTTTTTAGTCTAAGCCCAAAGTCAGGTAGAAGAGGAGACTTCTCCCAGGGAGGTGGGAGGAGGAAAGCGTAAATATTAATGAAGAATGATCTAGTTTCTCAGTGTAGGAAATCAATTATTTAAATAATGTTAATTGTGAAACTTGGAAAAGACTTTTAGAAAGTCAAATTAGATTATATCCACTGGGATTCCTTTATTGATATGGGCAACTTCTGCTTCCCTTCCTCTTCCTGGATGATGAAGAAGAGGCATTGTTTAGACAGAGGCTGCCTGCTTTCCCTGTAAGTAATTAATGTATTGTCTCAGATTCACTTATATTTGATTAGATGTTCAAAAGAGAAACAACAACAACAGGGTAATAACATTGGTTTTATGAACGTACATAGCTATTGATTTAAGTAAATATTTCATTAGAAATTGTAATCATTGCCTGATGTAAAATAAATGATTACAGTGATTGATGAAATTGTAGCTTGGGAAAAATATAATTGAGGGACTTCAACATAGATATGTTGAATATAGAACAACAAGAGGCAGTTGTTGGAACAGAACATGGGAACACTGAATAGTTTAAAAAATTAGGAAAGGTGTGCAACAGGGTTGTATTCTCTCACCATACTTATTCAACCTGTATGCTGAACAAATAATCCAAGAAGCTGAGTTATATGAAGAAAAAAATGTTATCAGAATTGGAGGAAGACTCATTAACAGTCTGCAATATGCAGATGATACAACCTTGCTTGCTGAAGGTGAAGAGGACTTAAAATACTTACTGATGAAGATCAAAGACCATAGGCTTCAGTTGAATTGCATGTCAATGTAAAGAAAACAAAAATCATCACCACTGGACCAATAAACAGCATTCTTATCAATGGAGAAAATATTGAAGTTTTCAAGGACTTCATTGTTCTTGGATCAACCATCAACACTCATGGAAGCAGCAGTCAAGAAATCAAACAATGTATTGCATTAGGCAAATCTGCTGCAGAAGACCTTTTTAAAGCATTAAATAGCAAAGATGTCAGCTTGAGGACTAAGGTGTGCCTAATCCAAGCCATGGTATTTTCAATAACTTAATATGCATGCAAAAGTTGGGCAGTGAATATGGAAAACCGTAGAAGAATTGATGCATTTGAGTTATGGTGTTGGAAGAGAATATTAAAAGTACCATGGACTGCCAAAAGAACAAACAGATCTGTGTTGGAAGAAGTGCAGCCAGAGTGCTCCTTGGAGGCCAAGATGGCCAAAAGTCGTCTCTCATATTTCGAACATGTTGTCAGGAATGACCAGTCACTGGAGACAGATATCATGTTTGGTAAGGTGGAGGGTCAGAGAAAAAGAGGAAGACCCCCAGGGAGATGGATTGGCAAAGTGGCAGCATCAATGGGCTCAAGCGTGGCAACAATTGTGAGGTTAGCCCAGGACTGGGCAGTGTTTAATTGTGTTGTGCATAGGGTCGCTATGAGTCGGTACCGACTCGATGGCAATTAACGACAATAATAACAACAACAAAAACATAGGTATTAAACTAATACCAATTTCTCCTTCTGAGGGATTGAGTTTTGTGTGTGTATGTGTGTGTTTATAAGTAACACATTTCTGAGCTTAATAGAAAATAAAAATCCTTAGTTGCCTGTCCCGGTGTGGCTATGTAGGATAAGCACTGGACATCAAAGTTGCTTTGAACTGCAAGGTTGGCAGTTCAAACTCAGCAGTTGCTCCTCAGAAACTCTATCAGGGTCGCTATTAGTCAGAACTGACTCAACAGCACTTAAAAACAATGACAGGTGCCAGAAGGCAATGGAAACTCAAGACCAGATTGTTCAGTCTTTGAGCTAATGCAGCATCTTGCTGAGGATATAGGTTAATGGTTTGGAGTTATTGTCAGCATTTTTGTTTTTTTCTAGATGGCTTGAACTTTATTTTTTTGTTTTCCTTTGTTATGTAGTTTAGGTTTTACAGAACAAACTATTTTTCCATTCAACGATTTATACATCTTTTATTGTGTGACACTGGTCACAAATCCCTCAGTGTAATAGTACTTCCTCCATGGGCTCCTTGATTTTATTTGTCCTTCTTTCCTGTCCCTTCCTATCTTCTGAGCTTTGTTTTTGGGCAAATATTGCCCTTTAGGTCTTATATGAGAGATTTTACTGAGGAATATATTCCTCCCTGATGTTATTTTTTACTTTATAAGCCTGTCAATTATTTGGCTGAAAGTTGATCGCTGGGGGTGATTTCAGTTCCAGGCTTGATGTCTAAGGAAGGGACTCCTCTGGTCACTGTCAGACCAGTAACTTGGAGATCTAATTTTAATTCCTACATGGAGATATTACTTTGGGGCTATGAAAAGCTGAGACTCTGGAAGGGGTTTCCCCTCTGAAACAGAACTTGAAGCATTCAGCCTACTGAACAAGAGAAACCCAATGAATCTTGTTCTTTGGGGAATGTTGATGAAAGAAAGAAAAATCTACATTCAGAAGGGAAAGTTTACGTATAAATGAATTTGGAATCCAATTTTAGACTTCTATATGGTGTGAGAATCCCAAGGTAAGAAACTAATTTTCTCAGATCATAGAATTTCTTATCTATATTTGATGTAACATTTACTTTCAAAATGTCTTTAACGTGGGTTGTTTGTCTTGTATAATTGTCTACTTATGGAGTCAAATGATTATAAAAGCCACAGAGAACCATACCAATGAATTCCTACTTGAGGAAGCGTTTATTAGACAGCAGTTAAATTACAAAGCATAAGAACTGCACTCTAGGATAAAATGTGGGCTATAACTGGACCCTCAGGTCTGGGGGCTGGGGGCCCATTAAATAAGGGAACCTATAAGTACTGCTGGTAGCTTCCATCTGTGGAACAAAGTAATCTGGAGTTCAAAAGGGAAATGGAAGAATGAAATTGTAGATGATAGAAATAATTTCTTAGCTAGTGGATAGGAGATTAGTTCATATTTGGTGTTAGCATGGAAGGGAAAAGATAACAAGGGAGAGTTTAGACTGAACCAGATGTGCTCGCAGTCAGTGGTCCAGAGGTTGGCTTATTACATTGGTGAGCCCATCCCCATGAAACAATGCTAAACAGTATCTACACATCCTAAAGATCAGCTCAAAAAGGGGCCAGAGGTAAAAGGATACAGGCACTTAGCAGCAAGGGGTGGCACAGCAAGTGGGGCGGGGGCAGGTGGAGATGACACAGGTTGGGCGATAGCAGGTGGTTTGACAGGAGACTTGGCCACAGACTGGGCGGAGGCAGCAGCAGGGGCGGCAGCAGCTGGAACCACAGCAGCTGGAGCCACCGCAGGAGGGGCGGCAGCAGCTGGAGATGCAACAGCTGGGTCGGCAACAAGTGGGCTGGCAGCACTGGGGCCTGCAGCAGCTGGACACACAGCAGCTGGGGCGGCAACAACTGGACACACAGCAGCTAGGGCGACAGCAGGTGGGCGGGCAGCACTGGGGTCTACAGCAGCTGGACACACAGCAGCTAGGGCGACAGCAGGGGGGCGGGCAGCACTGGGGTCTGCAGCAGCTGGACACACAGCAGCTAGGGCGACAGCAGGGGGGCGGGCAGCACTGGGGTCTGCAGCAGCTGGACACACAGCAGCTGGGGCGGCAACAACTGGACACACAGCAGCTAGGGCGACAGCAGGTGGGCGGGCAGCAGGTCTCCTGGCCTTGACCACAGCCCTGGTCAGAGCAGATGGAGCCACAACAGGAATTGACCATGGTGTCAGAGGGTGGAGGTTCTGGGTCTTTCCAGGAGAATGAAGTTTCCAAATGTAGGAGTCTTTTTCCTATACCCCTTTTTATACCCTTCCAAGGGCCTACTGTCATCATGTGAAACATTTTTTCCTGTTATTGTTTATCCTACAGGAAAACCTAATTATTTAATTACATAATTGTGTGTTTCTAGTTAAATACCCCAAATGGAGGAAATGGCATGTCTTCCTTTTCCTAGTGTGCTCCTGTTCCCAATTAAAACATTTTTCACACTTCTTCCTTAGAAGGTGTCACCTCAGTCACAGCAACAATGCAGTATCTTCTACAAATATTTGTCACATTACTTTCTGTTACTTTGTTTTTGAATGAGACATTCCCTTGCATTGTTCGCTGCAAGTACTGAAGAATGGCTCTTATAATGCCAAGAAATTTTTGTTGTCAAAGATGGGAGGTATTGGGTTCTGGTCAGATGGAATGCTGATAGGAAGATAGAAGGAAAGGTTCATTATGGAGGAGAATTTCCCATCTGGAATGAAGATGACTGTGATCTTGTGTGGGCATCTTGGATAGTCACAAAAGATGGTGGGACTGCAAGAAAGTTCACTGTCTCAAGCTGAAGAACATAGCAAGGAGTCACTGCTATTAAGAAGTAAAATCACATTTTTTGACTATAAGAATGTCTTCTATGATAGGCATTAAGAGTGGGAAGTTTTGATTAATTTTTTGATTGTCAAACCTTTATAGCAGATTTAGAACTATCAAGCCTTTCAATAATGTGTATCTAAGACATTCTGTTGATCACTAGGGGTTAACATGGATGAGCTTTCATCTGTTTCCTGTAAGTACTTGAAACAGACAAATAAATAGGACGTGACTTATTTGTTGTTAAATACCTTGTTGTCTGATCTCTGTTGGAAGAAGTGCAGCCAGAGTCCTCCTTGGAGGCCAGTATAGCCAATGTGGTCTCTCATTCTTTGGACAGATTATCAGAAGGTACCAGTTGCTGGAGAAGGAGATCATGTTTGGTAAGGTGGAGGGTCAGAGAAGAAGAGGAAGACCCCAGCAAGCTGGATTGGCAAAGTGGCAGCATCAATGGGCTCAAGTGTGGCAACAATTGTGAGGTTGGCCTAGGACCAGGCATTGTTTCAGTGTGTTTTACATAGGGTCGCTATCAGTCGGTACCGGGTTGAAAGCACATAACAACAACAACAACAACAACAACAACCACCTTCTAGTCAGTTTAACTCCTATTGACCCTCTGTACAACAGAATGACCCCCACCCAGCCCTACACCATCATCATAACTGCTACTATGCTTGAACCCATTGTTGCAGCCACGGTGTGAATCCATCTTGTTTTTTCTGTCCATTTACTTCTTACCAAGCTTGACACCCTTCCCCAGGGACTGGTCCCTCCTGATAATATGTCCAAAGTATGAGAGACAAAGTCTGACCATCTTGGCTTCTAAGGAGCATTCTGTTTGTACTTCTTCCAACACAGATTTGTTCATTCTTCTGGCAGTCCACGGTACCTTTACTATTCTTCTTCCACACCATAACTCAAATGCATCAATTCTTCTATGGTCTTCCTTATTCATTGTCCAACTTTCACATGCATATGAGGCTACTGAAAATATTATGGTTTGCATCAAGTGTACTTTAGTCCTCAAGCTGACATCTTTGCTCTTGAACACTTTAAAGAGGTTTTGTGCAGCAGATTTGCCTCATGCAATATGTCACTTGGTTTCTTGACTTCTGCTTCCATGAGTGTTGATGATGGATCCAAGCAGAATGAAGTCTTTGACTATTTCAGTGTTTTCTTTAGTGGTTTGGTAACCACTAGCAAAATTATAATTATGTTAATTAAAAACAAAAGACGTAGTATGTGGTTAAGTCTATATACCCTCAGTGAAAGGCATGAAAATACTATTAGCAACCGCTTGTGATGTGTTGGCTATGTATCTGGTATTATGCTGAATAGATCATGTTCATTTTGTCTTTGATCTTTAATGTAGCCCCATGAGATAGTCCTGAGGAATTCTGGTGTCGTGCTATAAGATAAGCAGTAGGCCACAAGGTCAGTTTGAACCACCAACCTTGTGGCTGAAACTGCCCTTAAGGTCCTGTGCATTATCCTGCAGTGCCACATCATTAGAGAGGTAGAAATGCAAGTCAAAAAAACTTTTCCAAGATGAAACAGGAAGTCATCTCATTATTTTTAGAATAGCCAGGGAGGAATGAATAATGAAACTTAAAAGCCTTTGCTGAAGCTATTTATCTTCCTGAAATGGTCCTTCTTTTTGTCAACTCTGTGAACTTCAGTTTATATGTCAAGAGCCAGGTGTAGGAATTTCTCCTTAATGATACCTTTCTGGACAAACTGCACCCTTCAAATGCCATCCCTGTCTGTGCTGTGCCCCTAACCTAGCATTCTCTCCTGTATCCTAGCTGTCTCCTCAGTCCTATTCCTAGGCTCAGTGCTAATACCCTAAGGCATGTGACTTGTGTATTCATGGTGGTTGGTACAGACAGAGCTCGCTAGAGATAAATGTTGGTTGAGTGAATGAATGCTTTTTAATACCTTGATCACATGCAATTGCTTTTCAACATACATGTCCTTTGTTGTTGTTAAGTGCTGTTGAGTTGATTCTGACTCAAGGAGACCCTTTCAAGGAGCAGATGGTGGGTTTGAACCACCGACTTTGTGGCTTTTTTTTTTGCCACGAAGAAGTGTAATTTTAATTTTATTTTCTTGCAGGTTAGTTTTATTTCAGCCTTTTAAGGGCTTAATTCTTTACATGGACTTTGGTGGCGGTCGTGGAGCAACACCTGCAGGTCTAAATCGGGGTGTTCAGTCCTTCCGAGCTTCATGAGAACGATTCCCGACCACCTTGCTGTGAATGACGTAGCTTACGCAATAATGGAGTTTCACGTACAGTTTAGGAAGTACGTATGCATCCACAACACTCGCTTCGGAAATATCCCTGACAGCTGCGGCCTCTACTATGTTTTAAATTACGAACTTCTTAATGGCCTTGTCTTTGGGCACGCAGCCCGCGCAGTTCATGGAGTAAATAGGCTGCACGTGGCCAGGACCCTTTTTGGCACGACTGTTGTTTCTCCTTTTCTTTGTCATCTTGGAAGCGAGGACCTGAGAGAGAGAGAGCGCGCTTTTTTTTTTTTGATTTACTGAAATTTTATTTTCAAAACGCATTATTGCTCGACCATATAGGCACAGGATGACCCCGGATTAATACAGATTACAGTTCCTTTCCAAAAAGTTTGTTTAGACAAAAAACCAGGAATGTGGTTCACCATTCCTCCAGACCTCAAGAATACTGCCTTTATCCATTTTTAAATAACGTGCGCTCCGGCTGCACATTAGCATGTGGACAATTTGCTGGAATTAAATACTGTCATCTCATTTTCCCTTCTGCAAAGCCACGTGACATCAATGACAAATCCCAGAGGTGAAGTATTACAGGGCATCAGGGGACGAATGAAAACCCTAGTTAGGAGGAAACCGAGGACAACTAGATTAGAGACAGCTACTCTGCACTACAACGACATGAACGCAGAGACGCCAGCACCAGTCGGACAAAGGGCCAATGCGTGACTACTTGGAAGTGACAAAGATACTTAAAGGCTGAGCCAATGCGCTTGCAGCCCTGGAGACCACATGTCTTTTAGACAGATAGCAAGAAGGGAAGAAACAGTCTAAACAGAAGGATCACGTTTATGAGAAAAGACACACCTATTCATGTTAGGGAGTCCTGGTGTGGTACTGTAGGATAAGCACTAGACTTCAAGGTTTGTTTGAATCACAAGGTCTGCAGTTTAAACTCACTAGTCACTCCTTGGAGACCCTACACAGGGTCACTATGACTAAGAACTGACGCATCAGCACTTAACGATTTGTGTTATATAGCAAGTAGCATGTCACATAAATTATGTGGAAACTTTTAGAAGATTCCGTTTTTAGAATGAAACATGCTTACAGATAACCATGAATACTATCCTTAACACACATACTTATGTTCTTCCAGAAATAAGACAGGAAGGTGGTAAACAACAAATGGTAACACTGGTTCCTTCAGCTCTAACTCCATGGTTTTACTCTTGTTGCTAAAAATAACAACTATTACTAGTTTGGTGTTAAGCAGCCGACAATATTTGCTGATCATCTCTGTCTTAGCTTGAATTCCATCCTAAGCAGACCCTGAGATGAGGATGTTGTTGTTAAGTACCATCCAGTTTGTTCCTACCCTTAGTGACCCTGTAATAGGGTTTCCAAGGAGCAGCTGGTGAGCTTGAACCGCAGACTTTGTGGTTCAAACCTACTTTTCCGTCCAGTGCATTAACCCACAGTGCCACATCAAGAGTACCAGTAGTTTATTTGAAGGTGATTCCAGAAAACACATGTGAGGAAGTGGGGAAAGTAAAACATAAAAGGAAGGAAAACCAAAAAAGTTTGTGTTAAAAATGGGGTTACCATGGTGGGTGACTGGAAAACAATTCTTCAGGGGACCTTCTGATAAACCATGGGGATATGCCTTAGGCTGGAGTAATTTAGCCTCCATAATTGGATACCTAGAAAATCCTACAGGTACAACTGAGTATTAAAAGACTAACATAAAATCCAGCTGATTAGAAGAGAGGGCATATGCACAAGAACACCCACACTTGCAGATAATACCCACTTGACCTGGCTTCAATGACTAGATGATCAGAGCTCAACTAGAAGAAGAAAGAAGAGGAAAAAAAAGAGTGCTCTGATACAATTTGATGAACTAGACCTACAGCTATGGATGCAGCAGCTCAAAAGAGGGAACAAATCTTTACAGTGAGGATCATTCCTACCCCCTCCATACACAGAATAGACAGGGATGGGCAACTTGGACATTGGCTACCCAAAATGGGAGGGCTACAAAGGCAAGAAGTGACTGGCTTACAAGCTTTCAAGAGGGAGCCTAGATCCAGAGGGTGCAGGGGAAGGTAGAATCTCCACTGAGTAGTATCCAATCCATCTGGGTGGGGCTAATGAAAGGAGATGGGGATAAGTCTCTTGTGGTACAAAAAACATAAATATGGAAAGCTGTCTTATACAATAGCAATAATCCTTCAAAAGTAATGAAAAAAATATACTCATGATTCTCAACAATAAATATGTAAAATATATACATAAATCTTCCAAGAAACTCATTGGGCCTATATAGAGTTCTAGATGGACTGCAAAGTCAGTTTGAACCTCAAGGTTGGCAGCTCAAACTCATCAGCCATTTCTCAAAAACCCTATACAGGGTCGCTATGGGTCGGAATCTACTTGACAGTACTTAACAACAACAACAATGAAGGAGAACTTGCTTTGGGCCCTGTTCTCAGACTGCTGTTGTTGTAAACACCATTGAGTCAATCCCGACCCTTAGCGACCCTGTATAAGGTTTCCAAGGAGCAGCTGGTTAGCTTGAACCACTGACCTTGCAGTTCAAACGACTTTGCATTCTGATGCATTAGCCCACAGCACCACACCAGGACTCCATTCTCCGACTAGCTACCTGAATTCCAAATTGGGTTTTATGGCAAATGCTGAGGTGGAGATAAGCGTGCAGGAAGTGTGTTGAGGAGTGCTTTGGAAATTAACACTTGTGGAAAGGAAGAGAAAGAAGCAGGGTTGATCAAGCTGTGAGGCAGTGTCATGGAACTCTCAGCTGATCCTCTAGGAGTTCTGAAGAAGAGGTGACCCTTCAGAGTAGTCCCCTGTTGATAGAGGAAAGTGGGTTTTGATCTTTCCATCCTGAGAAGAGGCATGACCTTGGATTAAAAAAATATATATGTATATATATATCAGTCTCCAATAACTTCCAAGTCAGCTTCATTCATGGATGTCACCTGCCTGGCCACGAAGACAACCCTTCTACATAGTAGAGTGAACCCCCGCTGAAGCTCTAATGACGAAGAGCCACTGCACATGTGCAGAAGGGGAGGAGTAGCCCCTGACATACTGTGTGTGACTTGGAGTACAATACACATAGACTTGGCTGAAAAAATAAAACTCTGAATCTGAAAGATGGTGTTTTTATTAAAAAATCATGAGTTGTATTCAGTCTTTCAAAAAATTCCTCTATTATGATCATGGATGCTCCATGACTTTTCTTTATTTTCTAAAAATGAGCAAAAGATTAGTTAATTTGTCTAAGGCTAAAAAGACTGGTTAAAACATAGTGGTTATGAGTTGGGCTGCTAACCTCAAGGTCAGTAGTTCGAGACTACCAGCTGTTCCGTGGGAAAAAGATGAGACTTTCTGCTCCCGTAAAGATTTACAGCCTTGGAAATCCTATGCACGGTCACTATGAGTCAGAACCAACTCCACGGCACATCAGCACAACCAACACCACCACCAAAGAAATCTAGGTAGTGTCCAATGTCATTTGACTTCTATTAGAAGATAAATTGAACTGTGTTGTCTACCCTACAGGTGTAGGCAAAATACAAATACCTACAACACAAAGAGAAAACCTAAAAAATAAATAAAGAAAGATTAACAATCACATTAAATTTTCAGTGCCGGTAGAATAGAAGTTTATTTTGGTATATGGAGATACGAATTTACAAGAAATCCTTGAAATGGAGTATAAGAGGGATGTATCTTTGACCTTTCAGGCCAGAGGGATTAACTATTTGTGGTTGCACAGGTAATGAAGTCAATCTACAAAGCCCTTAAGTATGAGAACTGGATAGGACATTGGTGATTAAAAAAACAATGATTAGCAGATTCTGAATGAATTCATTTGGGAATGAGATAATTAGGGCAAAAGTTAGAATATAGACAAAGCATTAGTAGGACTGATATTTGCTGATGGGATTCAGAAACTCAATTCACTTGAGCACTCCACAGTTTTTACAAGGAGGCCCTACATCTATGGAGAAGGAGGTGATAAAGAAGTGATGGCCTTAAAGCAAATATTCAGCAACAAGGGGTGGCACAGCAGGTGGGGCGGGGGCAGGTGGAGATGACACAGGTTGGGCGATAGCAGGTGGTTTGACAGGAGACTTGACCACAGACTGGGCGGAGGCAGCAGCAGGGGCGGCAGCAGCTGGAACCACAGCAGCTGGAGCCACCGCAGGAGGGGCGGCAGCAGCTGGAGATGCAACAGCTGGGTCGGCAGCAAGTGGGCTGGCAGCACTGGGGCCTGCAGCAGCTGGACACACAGCAGCTGGGGCGGCAACAGCTGGACACACAGCAGCTAGGGCGGCAGCAGGTGGGTGGGCAGCACTGGGGCCTGCAGCAGCTGGACACACAGCAGCTGGGGCGGCAACAGCTGGACACACAGCAGCTAGGGCGGCAGCAAGTGGGTGGGCAGCACTGGGGTCTACAGCAGCTGGACACACAGCAGCTGGGCCTGCAGCAGGTGGGCTGGCAGCAGGTCTCCTGGCCTTGACCACAGCCCTGGTCAGAGCAAACGGAGCCACAACAGGAGTTGACCATGGTGTTAGAGGGTGGAGGTTATGGGTGTGTTTCCAGGAGAGTGAGGTTCTTGAGTTTGATGTCTCCTTGCTCTCCGTTGCTTTTTATACCCTGCCGAGAGCTGCTATGATCATGTGCAAGACTATTCTTGTTTATCCTAATAGAAAATCAAATAGCAAATCAGTTAGTTTTAGTAAATTAGTAAATTAGATACTTGTTTATCTGGTAAGTAGATCTATATATAGAAAAGATCCATTTCCTTTTCCTGTTACATTATGATCGCCAACCCGGGTAAGCCAGGTGAATCATCATTCTTCCTTTGCCTAAAGTATCTTCTAAAGTGCACCCATTATATGACTTTTTTTCAACTGGATTTCACAAGTGTTATATTCTGTCCTGGGAATTTGACTCTAGGGTAATATGTTGAGAATGGATTTTATGATGCCTAGATCTCCTCTGATGTCAAAGAAGTTAAAAGCAAGTGGTATGAATGCTGGTAGGAAAATAAAATAAAAGACATATTTTGTGTATAGTAAGGAATCCTGTAATTTCTTTGGATTTCCTGGTTGGCCAATGAAGTAGAAAGGACCCCAATGAAGTGACTGTCTATTTTGTCTTTTTAAATAGACTCACTTTAATGATTTACTGCATTTAAACAGAAGAACACAATGGCACATTGGGTCTTTAAAAAGCTTTAAATTATTATTGCCTTGTTCTTCAGATATCAGACTTCATGGGAGAGTATTTTTGACCTATCTTTTGATAAGTCAACATACTCAATGTAATCTATATAGCTGAATTTTTATTCAAAGTAATTTTCTTATATTGTGAGCATTTGTCTTTCTAATATATGACTAAGATATTTTGCTTAATATGGAAGGAGATATGAGGTTAAGTATTAATTTTTAAACTATAGGTACTTTAAGACACATACATGGTAAAGAGTTTGGCAATTACTTAGGTATCATGTGACTAGTAAAAATAATAATTATTATGTATTTAATTCCCATGAAAGATGAGACAATGCTAATGGTTACTATTTGTTGAATGCCTACTGTGTGTCAGGAATTTTCTAAGTACTCCATAATTGTTAGCTGGTTTGCACTTCACAAGGACTCTATGAAGTGGACACCATATTTCTTAATTCTCTAAACATGAGATAGTTGAAGCCTAGATGGATTGAAGTTGTCAGAATTCTGTCAGTATGGAAGGTGACTTTCTTCTAGAATGTTCTATGAAGGTGTAAAGAAGAATAATCACATGTCATTTCTAATTAATTACATGCCATTTCTCATGTTGTTTCGTTTACTAGAATATTTGTGTCCCCCTTGTCAACTCAAATCCATATAGTTCAAATACAGATGCAATCTCATCTCTGATATCTTTCTTGACAACTAACACATTTAAAATAAATACTTCTCTCCATTTTACTGTCAATTTCTCATACTGTTAGTTTGCCCTACTGTTGTGGTTTGCATGTTTCTGTGATTCTGGAAGCTATGTCACTAGTATCTTAAATACCATAAAGGTCACCCATGGTGGACAGGTTTCAGATGAGCTACCAGACTAAGACAGACTAAGAAGAAAGAGATATGGACTACTTCCAAATATTTAGTCACTGAAAACCTTATGAACACTGTCAGATAGCACTAGAATGTTGAAATTTAAATATGATGAAGAGCACCAGAATATTGTAAGATTTAGTGCCAGAACATGAGCCTCTCAGGTTAGAAGGCACTCAATATACAACTGAAAAGAGTTGCCTTCTCAAAATAGAGTTGACTGTGATGATGCAAATAGAGTAAACCTTCAGGACCTTCATTTGCTAATAGGGCACAACTCAAAATGAGGAGAAACAGCTGTAAACACCCATTAACAATCAGAACATAGAATGTACAAAGTATGAATCTACGAAAATTGGAAATTGTCAAAAATGAAATGGAATGCATAAACATTGGTTTCCTAGGCATTAGAGAGCTGAAGTAGTGTAGTGGTTACGAATCGGACTGCTAACCTCACAGTCAGCAGTTTGAAACTACCAGCCGTTCCAAGGGAGAAAGATGAGGCTTTCTGCTCCTGTAAAGATTTACAGCCTCGGGAACCCTGTATAGGGTTGCTATGAGTTGGACTCACGACTCCACGGGCTATGAGTATGGAACCGACTCCACGGTGCGTAACAACAACAACAACAACAACAAGTGAGCTGAAATGAACTGGAATTAGTCATTTTGAATCTGACAATCACATGGCGTACCATACCAGGAATGACAAATTGAAGAGGAATGGAGTAGCATTCATCATCAAAAATAACATTTTAAGATCTGTCTTGGAGTACAACACTGTCTGTGATAGAATAATATCCATACACCTACAAGGAAAGAGAAGTTAAAACAATTATTAATCAAATTTATGCACTAACCACCAAAGTCAGTGATAATGAAATTGAAGAAATCTACCAACTTCTTCAGTTTGAAATGCAATCAAGATACATCGATAATGCAAACGTTGGAAACAAAGAGGAAGGATCAGTGCCTGGAAAATATTGCCTTGGTAATAGAAACAATGCTGGAGATTGAATGATAGAATTCAAATACCTTTTAAAAACACATGGACTATACACATAGACCTCACCAAATGAAATACACAGAAATCAAATTGATTACATCTATGGAAAGAGTTGTTGGAAAAGCTCCATATCATCAGCCAAAACAAGGCCTGGGGCAGATTGTAGAACAGACCATTGCAAGTTTAAGCTGAAACTGAAGAAAATTAAAACAAGTTTGTAAGAGCCAAAATATGACCTTGAACATACCCCACCTGAATGTAAAGATCATATCAAGAACAGGTTTGATGCATTAGACACTAAAGACCAAACTCCAGAGGAGTTGTGGGATGGCATCAAGAACATTATACAGGTAGAAAGCAAAAAGTCATTAAGAAGACAAAAAAGAATGGGAAGTTAACAGATGTTACAGACTTTGCAATTGTTCATCAACCATCGTATGTTTTATTGCCTGTTAACATTCTCAGAAGCTAGGCAAATCATTGCGGTG